CGTATTGTTCGATATGGCCGACGCATTCGCGCACTCGTCTGTCTTATTAATGTTATAAAAGTTTAGAACATTATATGCATATACAACAGACGTAATCGTTCTAATAATACTTCACCATCACTGAACCGATTGGTAATATTTATATTACCCTTTGTCTTCGTTGCAAGCTGTCGGTGAAAAATAATTAACGCGACTCTCTAATCAAATTTCAAATTTCTTGCTTACGAGAAATGAATTGAAACCCAATTGAATGTAAAGATTATTTAAAAAAAAAACAGTTTAATTAAAACATTAATTTTAAAGACATCAAAATTAATCCCATATACGGGGTGTTCGGCCACCACTGGGAAAAATTTTAATTGGAGATTCTAGAGGCCAAAATAAGACGAAAATCAAGAACACCAATTTTTTGATTGAGACGAAATTAAAAGATTTCAAATCATTGTGAAAAAATTATTTTCAGTTGCGTGGGTCAATTATAACCATTTTTGGTGAACAGACATACCTCCGAAATCCTATGCAATTTCGAGAAAAAAATTCCTTACCTTTAAATCGTGAATCGTACCTTTGAATCTTTAAAACGTCATAACTCCTGAACGGATTGGACGATTTTAATGTTTAAAAATGCAAAATACGCGTATTTTGGAGCAGAATATGTAGCCATTCCAAGAATACTCAAAAAGTTGTTCCTTAACCCCGCAAAGTGACAAAAACCCAATAAAAATGGTCCAATTTTCAAACGTCTTTAACTCCTACAATAGTGAATATATTTCAATGAAACTTTTTTCTGAAGCAGAGCCCATGGGTATCTACAAAAAAGTGTTAGACAATTTTTCTGTACAGTGTCAAACAAATTTATTAAAAATGAAAAACGAATTTTTAGGAAAAATCGACAGGGGTGCCTAAATTTTTCGGTGGAAAAAAAACTTTTCAATCATTTAAAAAAAATTATTTTCGATTGCGGGATTCAGTTACAAGCATTTCTGGTGAATACACATACCCACGAAATCCTACTCAGTCTCGAGAAAAAAATTTAGGAAGCTGGATAAATTCGGTGGAATTAAAAAATTTCAAATCTCTCTAGAAAAAATATTTTCAGTTGCAAGGGTCAATTACAAGTATTTTTGGTCAAAAGATATACCCCCGAAATCCTACACAGTTTCGAGAAAAAAATTGGAGTATGTGCTGAAAGTTTTGGGTGAAAAAAAGAATTTCGAAACGTCTTGAAAAAATTATTTTTAGTTGCAGGGGTCAATTACATGCATTTTTGGTAAGTAGACATACCCCCAAAATCTTACGCACTTGTGAGAAAAAAAATTCGTGTAGGTGGACAAATTTTATTAATAATTTTGGTATTCTTGATTTTCATCTTACTTTGGCCTCTAGAATCTCCCATTAAATGTTTTCCCAGGGGTGGCCGAACACCCTGTATATTTCATAATTACTATCAAATTTTTCACATTTTATACTATATTTAATTATTTTAATAACGGTGTATATTGCAACAGGGATGCGGCGAATGTGTTTCTTATTCACTTAATTGAAGTCTTTCTAGCATTTCTGTTATTTCAATGCATACTTATAATGTTCAAAATATAGTAGAAAATATCATATTCTCGCTGTTTGCAAGGTTGCATAGTTTCATTCCAAAGATGTTCGTGTTCGTAATAGACTTACTAATTAATTCTGATGAGATCTAGTTACATTTTACATTCTACATTGTGGCTTGAAGTTTTCTTTAATTATCTACACAAAACTTAGATGCAACTTCTTGCAGCTTCAAAAATTATTGTAGATCATTAAACACGTCCAACGAGATAAAATAATAAAGCCTGAGTAAGAATAAAAAGAGTTTATGTATAAAAGTTTCTGGAACCGCTAATTACGAACCAAAAATTCAAAATGGCGGATTCAAGGTGACTATAATTTTCTTCGCCCTGTTGAAAGTTGCAAATGAGACTTAACAGTGATGAAAATAAAAAATAGTGTGAACATAATACTCGTTGCAGGTCCTATAATCACCGTCTAAATACGGGTATAGCAATGATCGCGTTGTTAACGCATTGTTACGGATTTTAAAATATATCGTGTGTCAAAATGTTTTATTTATCGTTGACGATAAGGATAATCTTCGTTTAGTATAAATCAGCCGCGCTAATACGCTGCGTACATGCAGCACGTAATATGCAATATAATAAATATATGGTTTGACGTAACGCGTGACAAACGAGTTGCAAACCGTGTCAGAGTCTGCATATTTCTGCGTTGTTGGAGCAATTTGTCGAAGCGACGCGCCTTTTCCTTTTTCACCTGTGGTATCGATTTCACCAGGGTACTTTTCTGGAGAAACACGCCATCGCACGTGCCATTTAAACCCCCCAACTTACTCACACGTGTAATTTGTACCAGGTGCTTCTAAAATGACTAAATCACGACTGAATAAAATCAATTTGTTCCTCAAAGATTACACTGAAAAGAACATAGAATAAAAAAATTGTGCATGATAAAAATAAAATACAGTCCCATAAAAACACCGAACTAAATAAACCAGTATTCCACGGATGACGATGCGTCGAGTAAAGAAGTTTAAACAGTTTAAAAATATCCTACCAGCCTCCACTGATTCTTAATTTATCTTTAACGAATTCCATGTAAAACACGTGCGGGAAGTTGGAATCCTTTCTGATCGTCACACGTGTTGTGCAGCCAAATATATCCCTCCGGGCAACGGCGATACAGTATCGGGATCAATAAAAAATCACTCGTTGCTTTTTAACATTATAATCTCTGGCGACTTTCAAACCGCACAACAATTAACAGACGTAACATTCGATTTTCCCTGTGCGGGGTTTGTGCTTCATTAAACCAATTTGCACGTTTATCGAAGCGCACGCTATCAAAATATTTAATAATATCCCGTTACACTCGCAATATTAATATCCATGTTTGTATGTCAGGCAGTTTATTGTTCTCGTGCATCGTGTTTTCGACAAACGACAAATTGTTGAACAAAAATATTTGAGTTTGGAATATTGAACGAGGCTCTAATATCAACTGTAACATTCTAACAATAGAGCTTTTCCTCAAACACCTTCAAACACGTTCAAACAAAATTATTTTCCTCTGTATGTTGCTCGTGATTCGTGAAAATTTCTATGGATAAACGGAACATCGTTGCATCAAATTTTATCAAATGAAAGAGATTCGCAAAAAGATTATCGCACCCAGCGACCTTTAATTGCACGAAATACCGGAATAGCAAACACGTTAAAAAGCTTGCCACCGTGTTGTCGTCGGTTTTCGAAACACCCATTTAGCGTTCCGGCGTGTTCGCGAATTCACGGTGACGTGTCGCGGTCGCGATGACGTCCAGGCGTGTTTATCAAATTCGTGAAGGGGTTCGTGGCTGTATACAATGTGTGCATCATCGCCCGGACGCGAAAAGAGACCAGGGGCGTGTTCGTGACTCGGTCAACACGCGCTTTACTGCATGCAGAACGATCCCGGTCACTCGAAAGCAGCTCTTTACTTTGTCAAAGCCACGCCGACGCTTGTCAAATCTGCTCGCGACGAGACGGGGACACGCATATTTCGAACGATGATAAACGGATTCCTCGAAAATGTTTGCCCAGAATCCTCTCAAGGACAGCCTCTCCATAACTCCTCATGCGTATGTAATTTTTTAAATTTATAAACATCAGTTTTCTTTTACATGTACAAACATGCAACGATAAATACGTTGCAAATTATTAAAAACTTAAAAGTTAGCAAAGTCGAACGAGTCCCCAAAATCTGAATCAAATAAAATTAATTGTTTGACTTGGTTTTATAGTTTGATTAAAAATTTTCGTAAGGATGTTTGAAACGGAAATATACTAATATAAAGTATGAAATATTTCACAAATTTTTTCGCGAATAATGGCAAACATACAACGACAAAAACGTTGCAAATGACTAAAAACCTTTAAAACGTAAAAGTTAGTAAAATTGAACGAGCCTCTAAAATCTGAATACTGAAAAATAAAATTAATTATTTGACTTAGTTTGATTATAAATTTTTCGTAAGGATGCTTGACATGGAAATATACTAATATAAAATATGAAATATTTCACAAATTTTTTTGCGATTAATGGCAAACATACAACGACAACTGCGTTACAAATTACTAAATACCTTTAAAACGTAAAAGTTAGCAAAATTGAACGAGTTTCCAAAACCTGAATCCTTGAAAAATAAAATTAATCGTTTGCTCGGTTTTATAGTTAGATTAAAAATTTTCGTAAGGATGCTTGAAACGGAAATATACTAATATAAAATATGAAATGTTTCACAAAGTATTGCTTAACACTTTTACACGCAGAATGGCGAAAGGAATGAGTTACACTTACCAAAAAAAAAGAAAAGGAAAACTGATGTTTAAATTGTTTGCATCTTCTCTTGGAGGAGAATTGCAACTCGTCCCAGTTTCTAAAACTACTCAGAATTGTCAGTAATTCTACCCGGTAGATGTTATACTTATAACACTCGGTGTGGACAGCATTGTGCCCCACATTGGATAAATGTTTCGCGGGACGCGGTGCAAACAATAATCGTTTTAATTCCTAGAACTTTAAAAAAAGAAGTCGTTTCCGGAGCGTTCCGGGGGGAAACAGAGTCACCTACTTTTCCGTAAGCTCTTCAATTCCCGGGGGAACAAGCTTCTTTAAAAACGTACCACTTTTATGCATAAAAAGGTATTTTCCTTATCGTTCCGAGAGATCGTGAAACGGAGCGAAATCGTTACGCAAAACGATCGTATCGTCGCACGGCAACCCTAAAATAGTTGAACCGTTCTCTTCTTGGACAGCTGCTGATTTGCATATTTATTTTCGATGATAATATTTACGTCTGCCTCGCGAACGTTGCTCCTCGTATCTCGGCACGAAACGACGCGGTTTTTCGGCGGCGACTTTTTTATTTGCATTTCGGTGGAAGAAGAGGGTACGTTAAAATAACTTACCAGCGAATACTGCGGTGCTGTTGTGCCGTGGGTCGTATGGGCACAAACCCAGCCCATCCATGTCGCCCTCGCTGGTGTACGCGCCATCCTGAAACATAAATTAGAAACGCCAGGTTAGATACTGCGTCCACCTTTTCGTTCAATGTATCGTATATTCGCAATCCTTTCTATGGATAATTCTTTCGTAGTGAATTTAATTTAAAATCTTTGTCGGGAATCTCTTAAAATCTGCGTCAGAACCGAATAAAATATGTTCATATATGAGGACGGTAGACTTATTTCGATCGATTAAATTTGCAAGTAAAATATCACAGGAGTAAAAATAAAAAATTTAAAGAAATATTTGTTTATCTCCGATTATGGTGTATTTATTTTGTAAAATATTTAAAATTCACGAGGACATAACTCTTGACTTGGGAAACGACGATCTTCGTCGGTTTTAAATAATTTATCAAATTTGAGACGAGTGAAAATAATTATATTATTATATGGTGTATTTATTTTGTAAAATATTTAAAATTCATGAGGACAAAACTCGTGACTTGGGAAACGACGATCTTCGTCGTTTTATAAATAATTTATAAAACTTGAGACGAGTGGAAATAATTATATTATTATATGGTGTATTTATTTTTTAAAATATTTAAAATTCACAAGGACATAACTCGTGACTTGGGAAACTACAATCTTCGTCGTTTTTAAATAATATATCAAACTTGAGACGAATGAAAATAATTATATTTAGTAGTTTTAAAAGTAATTATATTGGATAGATCATTTATCAATTCCTTTAAACACGAAGATGAAAAATTGATAAAAATTCAATCGACACAAAGTAATACATCGTTCTATTATTAACGATAGACGTGTGTAGAGTGTGCAATGCTTCATCGAATTAACCGTGGCCCAAGGCGATACAAGGAGTGAATTTTCTACCGGAAATTTCAGTTCCTGTCTTCCCCTTTGCTAATAAAAAGATTCTTCAAACGGAATCCAATTTAACAGGGCTGTATTTTGCTTTAAATTAACATATTCGGATTATCTTGTCAAAAAAGCGCTTAAAACGGTAGGGAATGTAATTTATATAATGCACGACGCATGTAGGACGATGAAAAATGCACGTGGCAGAAATTCTTACGCGAAAACGTTCAGAAATGGACAAAAATTCTCCACGAGCGCCGGAAATAGAAGATTTACGCAAAACTGAACTTATTAACGTTCAGAATGCTTATTTTTAAAAGCGTACGCGACGTGTACAGGGTGTTCCGGGGTTTAATGGTCAAACTTTGTCAGTATATTCTACAGGAATAAGAAAAAAAAATATTAGAAAAATATAAGATACAATGTAAGCATTGATCAGTTTATATAACAGTTTTTTGTTTAATTGTTTAGGTTATATGACAAAGTGTGATTATTAAAACCTGAGACACTTTATATATTAAGGTTAAGTTGAAAACGAGCTTCTAGCTGTATCTTCCCATTCTGCAAATTATTTTATATAAAATTATATCTGTTATGTATCTCTGTGCATAATAAGGGCGTTTAATATTTTTAATTAACCTTTCTCTTCTAGTGTGGATCCTTTTACAAATATAATGCATTAAATTAAATCCATAAAATTTTAATTAACATTTGCAGTATAAAATTATACCTATAAAAATATAATTTATTGAATAAACTACAACATTGTTGCACGTTAACGTAACAAACGCGTATAGAATATACGTATCTACAGAAATAATTGAACTTTTGTTCATAGCAAATAAATGCATAGAAATCGAATTTGTGATCAAGATTTTATTTTCGAATATACAGGGTGTTCGGCCACCCCTGGGGAAAATTGCAATGGGAGATTCTAGAGGCAAAAATAAGACGAAAATGTAAAATGCCAATTTGTTGATCAAGGCTTCGTTAAAAAGTTATTAACGTTTAAAGTTCCGCCTGTAGAACGGCAATCTGCGAACAGCTGCGCACGCGTGATAGTGGTTCTCACTCAGAAAACTGTGAGGCTTACCTACAGGCGGAAATTTAAACGTTAATAACTCTTTAACAAAGCCTCAATCAACAAATTGGTATTCTTGATTTTCGTCTTATTTTGGCCTCTAGAATCTCCCATTAAAATTTTTCCCACGGGTGGCTGAACACCCTGTATAATAAAAGCTAATTTCGATAGATTTTCATTAACTTGATACTATCGTTAAGAAAGAAACATCACGTAACAAACAAATTTCGTTCGAAGAAAAAGCAGAATTCGAACATTTTATATTTAGATAAAACTTTTCGAATAAAATTTTAGTCGACTATGGCCGCGGCGTGACTGCGAAGATTTTCAGTAATCGAACGCATAAAGTTGCAAGTTCCGACTCGGGGAACAAGGCGATTGTTCGAAAGTATAAATTTACGGGAACAAATTATTAGCAAACTATGTTCTCAGCATGAATTTATTAACGTTTCGCGTCCGTAGTTTTCAGTCGGTAGCAATAACTAATAACGTCCCACAATTATAACTGTTTGACGGAACTTCGGGGCGCAGTTCACGCGTCAGTTTCGAACTTGGTCGTGCAATTTATTCTGTAACTACGGTTCTTTCGCTGTAACGTTACTTCGTTAAAATGGATTATCTCGTTATACGCGTTCCTTTCGCGCACAGAGACGAACTTCTCGCTGCGTCGTGCATTTTATCAGAACTTTCTTTGTTGCAAGACTACTTTTTCATTAGACGATAGCTGCTTAGGATCTCGGAGATCCTTGCATTTTTCCGCGATTGTTTCGAAAATGTCTTAGCGCCTCGCCGCAGGAAATTTCGAGATATTCTATCAGGGGAACCCCATCGTGCAATATACCTGTTAAACGTCAGATCCACGGCTGTGATTAGATTATGCAAATAACACGAAACAGCGTAGTAAATATTAGATATTCCATACGGGCAACATTAGCGACGGATATCCGCATTGTTTTAACAATACCGCGCCGTTATTATTTTGAATAATTTGCATACTGTTTCCCTTACGAGCCCGATAACCAGGCAACTAGCAGACCTTCGAATAATTTGTTTTCCACGTGTCGGTTTGATCGTAGTTTACAATTTCCGATACGGCGAAATTACCGCGTTATGCAAATACAATTATCAAAATCATTCGAAATTCCTTGCTTCTTCGCCAGGCAAAGCTTAAAAATTCAATTTCTTCCCCGTTGAAATGAAAAAAAGTTGACAAATTAATTCTTCAAGTTGTGAAGTTTACTAGGTATGTTAAAGTTTTCAAATGTAACAAACGTGTACGTCTTATTACAGAATTAACGTGGATATTATTTATGTTCGAAAGCTTTCCAATAATTTGTTATTTTAAGTGCTCGTCCCTGTTTCCGTACTGCAAATGGAAGCGATAACTATTTATCTTTCAGTAGAATTTCATGGGGGAGTCTCAATATGCCTGAATGCAAAATTAGAAACGTTTCTTGAAATATTCAGACGCAGGAGAGTTTATTCCAATACGTTCACACCCGGAATATTCAGAGGGATCGATTTTCTTGAATGAAACACTAGTTTCGCACGAGCAAGAGAATCATTCGAGAATCGTCGAAATTAAATGAAAGCATAATTAAATTCACGAATTATATTACCAGTTCTTGCGCTGTCATTTTATTCCTCTACATACGATTAAAAATTTCACTTAAAATGAAATAAAACTAGGTAGATTGAAGCTTCATTTCATTTAATTTTATCATATTTTTAATCGATACTAGTTCCATCCAATCAAGAGAATCATTCGATAATTGTCAAAATTAAATGAAAGAACAATTCAATTTACAAATTTTTGTACTGTCTTTTTATGACTCTACATTCGATTAATAATTCTATTTAAAAAAAAAATAAAAATAGACAGGTTAAAGCTTCGTTTCATTTAATTTTATCATATTTTTAATCGATACTAGTTCCATCCAATCAAGAGAATCATTCGATAATTGTCAAAATTAAATGAAAGAACAATTCAATTTACAAATTTTTGTACTGTCTTTTTATGACTCTACATTCGATTAATAATTCTATTTAAAAAAAAAAAATAAAAATAAGCAGATTAAAGCTTCATTTCATTTAATTTTATGATATTTTTAATCGATACTAGTTCCATCCAATTAAGAGAATCATTCGATAATTGTCAAAATTAAATGAAAGAACAATTCAATTTACAAATTTTTGTACTGTCTTTTTATGCCTCAACATTCGATTAATAATTCTATTTAAAAAAAAAAAAATAAAAATAGGCAGATTAAAGCTTCGTTTCATTTAATTTTATCATATTTTTAATCAACACTAGTTCTACTCAAGCAAAAAAGATTAAATGAAAGAACAATTCAATCCACAAATTTTTGTGCTGTCATTTTATTTCTCTAAATTCAATTAATAATTTTATTTAAAAAAAAAATAGAAGTAGGTAGATTAAAGCTTCATTTCATTTAATTTTATTAGAAAATATGCACATAATAAAAAAAATTGAACTTGTAGTGTTTGACAAGGAAAAAAGAATTTGCGTAAACAATTTAACGTGAAAAAAGAATTCACCGTTAAATTTGTAAGCAAACGTCGAGAATGGCTGAACAGGGAAAGTTAGAGGGTGCGAATTTTCCGCCTCCCGTTTTTCGGATTCTCGTCTCGCATCGACGTGATTCAAAATTGAAAAATCACCGACACGTGATTGCGGGTGGCCGGTTGCCCTGCACACAATCGATACACATTGTGTGGCGCGCGGAGGAGCGACGTCGAGATTGCTACGTTCCGCCGAGTTCTTTATTCCCATACAGTTTCGCCCCTTTTCCGTATTTGTATTTCCGGTGACGTATCTCGAGAAGCAGGAAGTTCGGGGAAAATTCGCACGTTCGAGCGACGATTCGTTTCTTTGTTGGGAACGTTTACAACGGAAGTCGTCCACGGCATCGAGATATTCGACCGGTTGCACGGAAAAGTTAATTTTCCAACGATTATAAAATAATTTGAATCCCCGTTGAAAGGAAAATCAAATTTTTCGGTTTAATGGATGTGAATTGTTTTTCAAAGAAAATATTTTTATTTACACGTCTGTTACGTCTCAT